GTACATAACTATTCCAAATGATTTTTGGACGCTTTTGTATCAAAAAGACAAAACAGTTGGTTCACAGATGTTCCAAAGAAAAACAGCCACAAAGAAATGATTTGTTATGTTCTTTGATTGATTCATGTAAAATATATTTTAAAAAGTATACTCTAACATTTATCTTTTGCATAAATAACTTTTTGTGGAGAATTTTTCATAACTTTAAAAAAGTAGTCTTATTGTGTAATATGGTTAGCTTAAAATCTTGTAGACTTTAAAGTTTTACATGACCTGTCACACATCTTACATGTGTAACCATTTCATTTCAGGGTATTCAGCATATATTGTGGTTTTCTCTTAAATTTATTTGCTTATGTAATCAATAATTTGAGAATACTCAAATTAGGAAATGTAAGAGAGAATAGGCAAGAAAATCAGGGTTAAAAAATGTTTTTACTACAAAGGGGTTAATCTATTATTTAATATATAAGTACATTCAGTCTATACATTTCATTTGGGTATGAAATAAACTTACATTTGAGCATTTTAAGACAATTGTAAATATTACTTTAATCTGTTTTTAAAAAAAAAAATGACGAGATTCACTGTCAGCATGTTATTTCCTATAAAATAAAAAGAAAACAAACAATTTTATTTGAGTCAGTTTTTCTTTAAATGTAAATAAGAAGCATTGGAAGTTGGGAATATTTCACAAAGTTGATTGAATATAATACTCACTAGGACAGTTGGAGTATTATGATTTTACCCTAAAGGACACCAGTTTAAATTTCAATATACAAATCATGATTAGTCATGGAGTATAAAGTTTACACTTGCCAAAAAGTAAATGGTATCTCTATTCAGGGTCAATCCAAAGGAATGAAAACAATGTTTCTTTCTATGTATCAAATTTGAAGGATTTCTTGCAATAATTTCACTGTGTTCCTGTTCTGTTTTCTTTCTATGTATGGATAACCCTAACCTGTTCAATCAGAATACAAGAAGTAAATAAATTATGTCAAATGAAGAAGGTGCACAGCAGAAATTTACATGAATTGAACAGAGAATTCTGAGTTTCCCTCAAATATGGCACCAAGTGATGTAAATTTAAAAGAAAATGTGGATCCATCTTATGATTGAGACTAGTACATATTATGAATGATGGGCATTATGACATTTAGAATGACATTACATTGATTCAATTATATGGACAGCTCTTAATCCATACAGTCAAAATGGAGGAAATATTTTTCTTTATAGGCATAAAGTAAGAAACACTCAACCAATTCATCAGAATTTTACTCTTTAAAGAAAAGGAGCCTTACTTGCTTTGTTGAGTTGACATTCCTATTTTGTCTTTGGTAGGTACACTGATGGTTTCCTTGACTATAATGGGAACTTTTTATTTAAAAGTCCTCAGATTGTCCTGATATTTTGGTTAAAATAACTGCATGACATCAAATAATTTGTTCATACAAAGAAATAAAAGATTTTCCAGGTTTCTTCTTTTTTTGGGTCAAATTAAAAATAGTGTCCAACTAATATATCCAACATATAATACAAGATAATCATCCAAGTTACACAAAGGTAAATAAATGACCTTTTTAAGGTTTTAGTCAAAAGATCAAAGTGAGAAGGATATTTAATAGTTTGGTTAATATTCATCAAACTCCATGGATAGATTAATTAAACAAGCTTCATAAATTTTGATTTTCAGGTAAAAGATTAGCACAATTTTTGCTATACCATTGTTGTCCATGAATATCTAAACAACTCTATTGATTTTTCAGGTTAAGGGTCAATGTGTTCCTACTACAGTAAAACTTCATTAATATAAGGATATCAGGGTGATTCGTTTATTTGTTAGAAATTAGTTATAAAATCTCCCACTCTTTTCTATAATATATCAGTGAATGTGCTCCTTAATTTTAAAGAATTTTACAAGCAAATCATATACTGACTTTCAATCCTTCAAAACACAATATAAATTGAATCTTGATATTAATACTTTTAGGCTTTCAGACTTATAGGATTTCAATCTTAAAAACTTTCAGACTTTTAATCTTTAAAAACATTTAATCATGAGGACTGATTATTTATCTAGTAAGTCTTGTCTTTATGTAATTAAGATCAGTCTTTAGTTATTCAAAATTTTCATATTTGTAAAACCAAATTGTGAAAGTACGGTGTTTGTGTAATCTTCTTAATGTTTGTCTAAAATTATTGGATTTTAATACTGTCAAATATAATTTGTGATGATCAAAATTTCCAACTGAATTCAAAGACAAACTGCCTGACCAATATATATTTAAAGTTTCAACACCATACACTCTTGAATATCCCTAGATATCAATACATTTATTCAGCATTAGCTATCATCCGTAAAATAACCTAAGAAACACTTTTATCGTAACTTTAAAAAACATGAAATTCCTCACGCAATTTTAAAGAATCTTTGTTATAAGGGATATTAAAGGCAAAGGATCCATAAATTTCCAAGTAGCAATATTTTAAAACTACATATCCACATTAAATTGAGGATCATTTGAAGATCCCTTTTCTTGATAACTCATGAAATTTTATGTAGTATGACTATAATGTGTAATTAATCTTGATGAAAAAAAAAAAAAAGGATGGTGTTAAGTTAGCCAAACCCAACATCCAAGGGAGAGGGAAGGGGGTTGAACCCTTTTGTCCAGGATACATGAATTTTAAAGGTTTAAAAAATCATAAAAGTATATCAAATTTATAAGGTTAATATTTCTTAAGTTTTTGTAAAACAAAACTTAAGAAATATTAATTTTAAAACAAAACTTAAGAAATATTAACCTTATAAATTTGATATACTTTTATGATTTTTTAAACCTTTAAAATTCATGTATCCTGGACAAAAGGGTTCAACCTCCTTCCCTCTCCCTTGGATGTTGGGTTTGGCTAACTTATCACCATCCTTTTTTCTTTTTTTTTTTTTTTATCAAGATTAATTACACATTATAGTCATACTACATAAAATTTCATGAGTTATCAAGAAAAGGGATCTTCAAATGATCCTCAATTTAATGTGGATATGTAGTTTTAAAATATTGCTACTTGGAAATTTATGGATCCTTTGCCTTTAATATCCCTTATAACAAAGATTCTTTAAAATTGCGTGAGGAATTTCATGTTTTTTAAAGTTACGATAAAAGTGTTTCTTAGGTTATTTTACGGATGATAGCTAATGCTGAATAAATGTATTGATATCTAGGGATATTCAAGAGTGTATGGTGTTGAAACTTTAAATATATATTGGTCAGGCAGTTTGTCTTTGAATTCAGTTGGAAATTTTGATCATCACAAATTATATTTGACAGTATTAAAATCCAATAATTTTAGACAAACATTAAGAAGATTACACAAACACCGTACTTTCACAATTTGGTTTTACAAATATGAAAATTTTGAATAACTAAAGACTGATCTTAATTACATAAAGACAAGACTTACTAGATAAATAATCAGTCCTCATGATTAAATGTTTTTAAAGATTAAAAGTCTGAAAGTTTTTAAGATTGAAATCCTATAAGTCTGAAAGCCTAAAAAGTATTAATATCAAGATTCAATTTATATTGTGTTTTGAAGGATTGAAAGTCAGTATATGATTTGCTTGTAAAATTCTTTAAAATTAAGGAGCACATTCACTGATATATTATAGAAAAGAGTGGGAGATTTTATAACTAATTTCTAACAAATAAACGAATCACCCTGATATCCTTATATTAATGAAGTTTTACTGTAGTAGGAACACATTGACCCTTAACCTGAAAAATCAATAGAGTTGTTTAGATATTCATGGACAACAATGGTATAGCAAAAATTGTGCTAATCTTTTACCTGAAAATCAAATTTATGAAGCTTGTTTAATTAATCTATCCATGGAGTTTGATGAATATTAACCAAACTATTAAATATCCTTCTCACTTTGATCTTTTGACTAAAACCTTAAAAAGGTCATTTATTTACCTTTGTGTAACTTGGATGATTATCTTGTATTATATGTTGGATATATTAGTTGGACACTATTTTTAATTTGACCAAAAAAAAAAAAAGAAGAAACCTGGAAAATCTTTTATTTCTTTGTATGAACAAATTATTTGATGTCATGCAGTTATTTTAACCAAAATATCAGGACAATCTGAGGACTTTTAAATAAAAAGTTCCCATTATAGTCAAGGAAACCATCAGTGTACCTACCAAAGACAAAATAGGAATGTCAACTCAACAAAGCAAGTAAGGCTCCTTTTCTTTAAAGAGTAAAATTCTGATGAATTGGTTGAGTGTTTCTTACTTTATGCCTATAAAGAAAAATATTTCCTCCATTTTGACTGTATGGATTAAGAGCTGTCCATATAATTGAATCAATGTAATGTCATTCTAAATGTCATAATGCCCATCATTCATAATATGTACTAGTCTCAATCATAAGATGGATCCACATTTTCTTTTAAATTTACATCACTTGGTGCCATATTTGAGGGAAACTCAGAATTCTCTGTTCAATTCATGTAAATTTCTGCTGTGCACCTTCTTCATTTGACATAATTTATTTACTTCTTGTATTCTGATTGAACAGGTTAGGGTTATCCATACATAGAAAGAAAACAGAACAGGAACACAGTGAAATTATTGCAAGAAATCCTTCAAATTTGATACATAGAAAGAAACATTGTTTTCATTCCTTTGGATTGACCCTGAATAGAGATACCATTTACTTTTTGGCAAGTGTAAACTTTATACTCCATGACTAATCATGATTTGTATATTGAAATTTAAACTGGTGTCCTTTAGGGTAAAATCATAATACTCCAACTGTCCTAGTGAGTATTATATTCAATCAACTTTGTGAAATATTCCCAACTTCCAATGCTTCTTATTTACATTTAAAGAAAAACTGACTCAAATAAAATTGTTTGTTTTCTTTTTATTTTATAGGAAATAACATGCTGACAGTGAATCTCGTCATTTTTTTTTTTAAAAACAGATTAAAGTAATATTTACAATTGTCTTAAAATGCTCAAATGTAAGTTTATTTCATACCCAAATGAAATGTATAGACTGAATGTACTTATATATTAAATAATAGATTAACCCCTTTGTAGTAAAAACATTTTTTAACCCTGATTTTCTTGCCTATTCTCTCTTACATTTCCTAATTTGAGTATTCTCAAATTATTGATTACATAAGCAAATAAATTTAAGAGAAAACCACAATATATGCTGAATACCCTGAAATGAAATGGTTACACATGTAAGATGTGTGACAGGTCATGTAAAACTTTAAAGTCTACAAGATTTTAAGCTAACCATATTACACAATAAGACTACTTTTTTAAAGTTATGAAAAATTCTCCACAAAAAGTTATTTATGCAAAAGATAAATGTTAGAGTATACTTTTTAAAATATATTTTACATGAATCAATCAAAGAACATAACAAATCATTTCTTTGTGGCTGTTTTTCTTTGGAACATCTGTGAACCAACTGTTTTGTCTTTTTGATACAAAAGCGTCCAAAAATCATTTGGAATAGTTATGTACTGTTAAAGCCTGATGCTCAGTTAAAACAGTAGAGATCATTTTAAGAGTTTCTGGTGTGTGTCCTATTTAGGAATTATTACAATGTAACAAAGATGAAACTCATAATTTGATTTAATCAGAAATGATAAAGTCATCAGGTTTCCGCATGCTTTGCTGACACATCATGTACATTTACTACTCTACTGGTATGTCTTTAGTAGGAAAAAGGGAAATCAACAGAACTTAGCATTCCATATAAACAAAAATGAAACCTTTGATGAAAAATTCTCTCCTAAATATAAAATGTAGATGAACTTCTTTCAAATTGGATGATGTCATTTTTACATGCCAAAAAGAAACTAATGCAACTAAACTAAAAAAGACAATCATTAAATTTTACAGAAAATAAAGGAAAATATCAAGACAGAAAGTCCAGGAATTGAAAAAATTCTACAGTTATCATCTAAAGATGTATATGTTTGGATTCATTTTAAATTCATAAGCAAATGATATGCTGCCATTCAATCTTTCAAACTTAAAAAAAAAATACTTTCTTTACTTTTGAATGAAGATCTAGAGGAGTCTTCCCCATGCAGATCTATTTATGAATGGGTTTTTCCCCTTGACCTTAGTTCAAAACTTATATTATTCCAACCAGTCTTTATCTATGCAGTGATAATAAGATTTTTTACAGAATTCTTAGGTATTACATAGTAATAGTCTTTAAACATCCTTGTTGTGCATTTGATTTACATTTCCAATTCTTTCCAAAGAATATGCCATGTCACCCAATATAACAGATATAAAGTCTCTAGGTTATAACAAAATGTTAAAGTTTCAACATTACAAAGCTCATATTAGTAATCTTACCAACTGACTTTTACCCAGAAGAAAAATGATCTTAAAATCTATAGAAAATCTCCGATTCATTCTTAACTTATGATGTGAAGTTTGTAGGTTACAAATTATTTTCAAAAGTAGTTATCTCAATAATCGCATGCTTTGACCTTGACAAATGTGTCCTTTAAAACTATGTGTATTACTATAAGCTGTTATGTGTAGTAAGCATGAAGTATATGAGATGATAAAAATATTCAAGATATTGCATCACAGATTACTGGGTAACTGCATCTTGATGTGGGATACTAAGGGACCTTTATCATATTTCAAGTTTTAAATTTAAAAATAGGGTACAATACACATACATATATACACAAATACAATATATTTACAATTCCAGGAAAGTAATAATTACATTAAATCTAGCATCTGAATATCTGTGTAATTTCTAGGGGGTTATAGAAATAAGATGCAAAATAAAAGGTTTAAATGTATACTTCTCATACATAACAACTGTCTTCAATATGAATTGGCAAAAAATAAAAGTCACATTTAAATACTCTGAAGTCCGTGAGAATTAATTTTTAAAGAGCCCATGCTATCAGAAAATCATATTTTCTATACTTATTACAAAATGTTGAAGTTATTGCAAGACTCATATCAGTTATCTCAGTAACTGGTTTTTATTCAGGAGAAACATGATCCAAGATTTCTTAAGAAATCTCTTATTCATCCTATTCATTCTTCATTTATGTACTTATGATGTGAAGTTTGTAAGTTACAAATTATTGTCAAAGTAGTCTTCTCAATAATCTCATGCTTTGACCTTGATAAAGTGTCCCAAACAACAAAGTGTATTCCTCCAATCAGTCTTTATGTAGTAAGTATGAAGTATATGGGATGACAACAAATATTCAAGATATTATTGCATCACAGATTATGGGACACTTACATCTTTATGGGGGTCCTATTGAGACAAATTTTAAATTCAAAATTAAACATGATACATACACAAACAAAATATATTTACAATTCCAGGAAAGTTAAATAATACCATTAAATCCAGCATCTGGATATCTGTGTAATTTCTAGGGGGTTGTAAAAATTAGATGAAAAATAAAAGGTTTAAATGTGTAATTCCCATACATAACAACAGTCTTCAATATGAATTGGTAAAAATAAAAGTCACATTCAGATACTTTGAGGTCAGTGAGAAATAGTTTTTAAAGAGCTCATGCTATCAGAAAATCATATTTTCAATACTTGATTTGACTAGATCTCAGTTTGATAAATGATTACACTTTATCCATAGTCAGTGTCTGACAGTGAAACATACAATCCTGGGTCCTTTCTTTGTCATCCTGTATAAACCACAGTCTATGATCGTACTGGTTAAATTCGATGGAAATCATATTTATGTTCTTCTTAAATCCTCCATCCTCTTAAGTTTGGTTTTCTCTTGTTTCAGTGTTCCAAGAGAGGATATTCTGTTAGTCTTTGCATAATCTGAGAGTCTTTCACCATTCTAAGAGTAGACATAGATCATTTCCATAACCTCTCACTAGAGAATCCTGAAAAAATAAAAAAAAAATGTCTTAGTTGAAAAAAAAAATTGTAATGTAATATAAGCTTGATGGAATTCTACATATAGACAAAAAGGGTATAAAAACAAGTTGTAACATAAGATTTTGACTTTTCATATTAACCATGGGTAACACCTCTAGTAAAGAAAAGAGTAAAGGAATGAGTAAAATTCAGTTCGGAGAGAGAATTCTTTCAGAGAAAGATGTAGACAGAGGTATACCAGTTAAAATAAAAAAAGATGGCACTATTGAGATCATTTCTCAAGAAGAATATAACCAATTATGTCCAGAAAAGGGTGATCCTAATGTTGTCAGAGATTACATAGAAAGACCCTTGATTGCAGAAGAAGCCAATGAAGAATATAACCATTTATTACCAAAAGAGGGTGAGAATTACTTGGATTACCCTGAAAGACCTTTGACTAGAGAAGAAGTCAAGTTTATAGATGATAAGAGAAAACAGTTGTCAGAAAAAAAAAGATTGTTAAAGACACATGATTTTTAGCCCACAAAACCATTGGAGATACAAGGATTACAAGATACAAGGATTAATGGAGGAAGTCCAAACTGAACTCTTGGAAGACATTAAGGCTCATTATGAGAGTAACTTTCCAGTGTTTGTTTATTACAAAATTATGTATTCTGATAAAAAAAAAAAAAAAAAAAGTTTTCACTTTCATTTGTTGTGCCTTTGACCATTTAAATTGACCTTATGGTCAAGATTGTGATATATACACTCTGATAATCATCTATGATGTCTCTATGATGTTTACCTCAAAAGATTGAATCAGGGTATTTGTGTTCAAAGAGCTGAAGAAACTATACAGACAGATCTAAGATGTTGGAAGCATACATATTAATGAGGTTAAAGGAGATATAACACTAGATTATTAAAAAGAAAGAACACAAACTCATAGAAATGATATTGAAAGTACCTTTTATGAATAAAGTGTCATGCTCCAAGGTATTATTTTTATAAACAGGAGAAGGTTTACAGCAGTCCCATACACTCATAAGAAGATCTTGGGTAGTAGAAACACCAGGAAATTTTATTTCCACACAATCAGATCATCTTACATCAGTTATAAGGTTACAATCTTTATACATAGTCAAGAGGGTCATTAAGATTTCTTTTCTGGTCATCCTAATGAGCCACATTATAGTATTCTTTCTCTTTGATAGAATGTTAATATTAAATGGAAAATTCAGAATTCATCAGCAATTGAAGTCAAAACTTCCTATCTTTACCAATTATGCTATTAAGGAAGCTGGGGGTTAACAAATTAGCCATATTTAACTTATTCTATAAATATGCTATCTTCAGCTGTTAACTATCATTTGGCAAAGAAAAATTTCATACATTTTAGTTTTAAAAATTTGATCATGAATTTTTATGCCTTTTCTTCTTCTTCTAAAGGATATCAATAGAGTTTAAACATGACCATGACCACCAAGCCCTCTTTATTTAAAAAAAAATCATATATCATTTACTTATCAATTCAAAAATATAAAAATGCATATGTAAATAAATAAATAAATAAATAAATAAATAAAAATTACAATTGTATCTCATTGAAACTTTACCTTCAAGTTTGTGTGTTTCTATGTTGATTGACTAACTGTGTATTTCCAAAGGAATTTGGGCAGACAGGCTGAACTTCATAGAGAATGGATTATAGATGGTTAGGAATAAAACATATCTTCCAGGTTGAGGACTGTAGAAAATATAATCATTTTGTTAATATGACAGAGTACTGCATGAAACATTGCATGTTTAAATACAACATGTACAATGCCAAAAAAGATCATGAAAATATTTGTTTTTAATCTCAAAAAATTGTTTTTAACATTAACTCCAGATGAGAAAAGTTCATCATGTTATCTATAGATAATAAACAAGCACAACTACTGTATTAATATCATAAATAAAATGATTATCAGATTAATTATTTAGACACTAAAAAACTTACTATCTTTATGATATTGATTTCCATTATCAGATGTTTTTTATCCATTTTTTTATCCATTTTAAAATATAAACATTTAAATAAAACAGAATTAAATAAATTAAAATGATATCTCATTGAAACTTTACCTTCAAGTTTGATTGTTTCTATGTTGGTTGACTAACTATGTATTTCCAAAGGAATTTGGGCAGACAGGCTGAACTTCATAGAGAATGGATTATAGATGGTTAGGAATAAAACATATCTTCCAGGTTGAGGACTGTAGAAAATATAATCATTTTGTTAATATGACAGAGTACTGCATGAAACATTGCATGTTTAAATACAACATGTACAATGCCAAAAAAGATCATGAAAATATTTGTTTTTAATCTCAAAAAATTGTTTTTAACATTAACTCCAGATGAGAAAAGTTCATCATGTTATCTATAGATAATAAACAAGCACAACTACTGTATTAATATCATAAATAAAATGATTATCAGATTAATTATTTAGACACTAAAAAACTTACTATCTTTATGATATTGATTTCCATTATCAGATGTTTTTTATCCATTTTTTTATCCATTTTAAAATATAAACATTTAAATAAAACAGAATTAAATAAATTAAAATGATATCTCATTGAAACTTTACCTTCAAGTTTGATTGTTTCTATGTTGGTTGACTAACTATGTATTTCCAAAGGAATTTGGGCAGACAGGCTGAACTTCATAGAGAATGGATTATAGATGGTTAGGAATAAAACATATCTTCCAGGTTGAGGACTGTAGAAAATATAATCATTTTGTTAATATGACAAGGAACTGCATGAAACATTGCATGTTTAAATACAGTGCCAAAAAGTTCATGAAAATAGTTCATCATGTTATCTTTAGATAACAAAAGAAGCACAGTTACTGTATTAATATCACAAATACAAAATGATTATCAGTGTAATTTTTAGACACTAACAGACTTTCTCTTAACAGCATATTCAATTTTGTTTAATACCTGTCAGTACAGCATACAAAAAGATATTAGCATATACAACATGTAGTCCTACATTTTTTGAAAAGCTCATTACCAAGAAACAAAAGTGAAAATGAAAATATATGTATGCCATATATACCACATATTTAGAATCAAAACAAGGATAAACCTTTTGTAGATTCTTACTTTTTCTTTTATTACATTCCTTATAGATCACAATTTAGTAAGTCTGAATTCCATGGGTAACAGACATAATGAATTATGACATTATATCATAATTTATGCAAAAGGACTTATTAACAATATGAAGTTTCCTTAGTATATTTTAGACAAAATAAGACTGTGCTTATATGAATGTTAGAGATATTAGATCACATAATTGAATTACACAGTAATTATATTCATGGTAATTAAAGATGACCTTCATAGGAAATAATCATTAATTTAAATGCAAATCATTAGCTGATTAATATGAAAAAAAGACTTATGATAACAATATGGAAGTACAACAAAACAGTTCAGAAAATTCCATATGTATAGTAAACATATTTTAGACATAAATAAGACATGTGCTTATATGAATGTTAGAGATATTAGATCAAATAAGAATTCACAGTTTAAAGTACAATATATATCTGACAAATAAAATACATACATGTATATACATGAAGGTTTAAAAAAAAAAGGGGGGGGGCACACATGTTATAGTAATTAAATTAGAATGTAAAAATAATAAAATCATGTACAAAATGAAATGATATATACCACATATTTAGATTAAACCTTCATATTAAATTCCTTATAGATCACAATTTAGTAATAACAATAAACAATATCATAAGACAAAGTGATATGAATTTATCCATATTAGATCATGAATTACACAGTAATTAAATTAAACCATAATCATGAAAAACAAAACAAAGACAAACTTACCAGAATTATCCAATTATATGCCCAATTAAATAATCCAGTGAAACAACATCTTAGCTGATCCTGAAAAAAAGCATACAATATTCAGTGATACACAAATTAACCTCATTTTACAAAGGAAGTAAAGCAACAATTGACAGACAAACAGGACAGAAATGTAAAAGATACCATATATATTTTACCAAAATTTAGTAAACATTTTTTCTGATTTAAATTCAATCACAGAATGACCCATCATAGTAATATTAAATACACTCTGGGTTACATGCAAATTATACCTTACATGAACTGAGAATAAATACCCCATTTACATTCATATAAACTGAATTTTACATAACTAATTACTCTTTTTAACTGATGTCACCATTAGTATGTCAGAATATTCAGGGTGTACAAATCATGCATATTCACTTTTAAAGTACTCAATATATATTTTACATGTTGATGTTTGAAATCACTGACTAAATAAAATACATACATGTATATACATGAAGGTTTAAAAAAAAAGGGGGTAGGACACACATGTTTATAGATTTACAGAGATGCTCAGACTGAGTTTTTCCCACTTTCATTGGGCCACTGTTGCACCAGAATGTAAAAATATGAGTGACAAATAAGGCAAAAGATTCTGTATATTTCATTAAAAAAGATTTGAGACAAAAGATTCATTGGCATAATATGATCTGATTGATTATCTCCATATCCTTCTTTTGGTCACTGTGATTAAAGATTCATAGAAATATTAGAAATAACAACTGAGAATATCACTTTAGTTGTTTTAAAAGCATGTATCAGTATTTTATAAGATATGCTAGGAGTCTCCTCATAAGAATATTTAGAATACTGATCCAATAAAAGGAATGTGAGACAATATGATCATAACTCATGCAAAAAAGATTTATCAACATTTTGAGGATCTTTTAGTGTCCTAGTGTATTTCAGGGTAAACAATGGCAGTGTTTATATGAATGTTCTAAACATAAGGTATATAACACAGTAATAATGAATAAATACAAAGATGACCTTCATAGAAAATGTATAAAGAAAAGTTTGTTAAAACTTACCATGTAACCAGGTAACTCAGTAGAGTAATATTCATTAAATAATCCAGTGAAATAACATCTAGGCTGATCCAGGATTCAGCTGTTCAGAACTTTCTTGGAAGAAAAACGGTAGAAAATCAGTTTTGGTACTGAAATCCATAGGACCATACTGTTATTACATGAAGTCTCAAGCGCTGTGAAAGTCTGTGTTATTGTGTCAAAATAAGCAGCCATCGCGGCTTGTGAAGGACTAACATGACGTCGCTGCCAAGTTTATGACGTCACAATGCATAGGTAAGCTATGGTATTTTTTGCACACGGCCCCCTTACAAACTGCAACAGGTATAAAAACTGCAGTAAAACCTATGATGCAGTTACAGTAAAATAAAAACCATGTGTGTTTTTGTAATTTTTTCAGCAAAAAATCAGGGCCCTTTTAAGATGATGCAACAGGTATAAAAGTCGAAAATCGTAGTATGCAATATATAGTATAGGCTATGTAAACACAGTGTAATTACACACCTTGAGTCGCTGACAAAATCGTATAGCAGCGTATAGCACCCCCGTATTACTGAATATGTACTGAATTGGCTATCCCGGCTATCCCCCACAGACCCCCTAATCTGCACTCCCTTGACCCACCTATCCCCCCAGGGGCTGGGGCTGCACTTGATTTCACTGTGTAGAAACGGACTAGGGTAAATTGCGTTACACTAGTCCAAGATGGGGATAGGCAAATACCCTTCAATTATTCTGCATTTAGTTTCAGCGTTATACAGACTTACATTATAAATTTTATTGTTAAGATTAAAATATTTCATTTAGAAGATCACAACATTTGCGAAAAGTTGGCACGAAATGAGCTAATTAAAGCCAGGTTGCGGGTACAAAATTTGAGCATGATTAGGGTAAAGTATTTTCTGAGCTCTTTTAGTGACTAGGATAAAGTAAATGCAAAATGTCATTTTTCCTTGTTTCAGGACATAAAGGATCCTATTTCGGGGTATGTTTACTCCTTCTAAGAACCTGATCTGACTTGTGTAATTTCAGTTTCCAGGGGGTCTGTGTTTTATATTATAATAATATATCGCGGTTCTTTATCTTCACCTTTACCATTGAGCATGACACCCGATACACACTTTAGGTCGTTTCTTAAATTATTACACAAAACACCATGACACTTAAAAATTCTCATTTTGAAATAAACCGAGTGATATGCCGAAGTACTACTTATTGCAGTTAGTTTATAATCCTCTTTATATCTTGAACATAATATAACAAAATGAGTTGGAAAAACGGCGCTCTTTTCATTTAGATGCAGCGTGAAAAAAATATAAACAAGAGGCCCACGGGCCTTATAGGTCACCTGAGTATCATGTAACAACTTTCCAGTGATTGTATTTGGTTCGTGTTTTAATCCAAAAGCCATGAAATTCACAAATTTTGAAGGAGGCACCATTGCTTATCAAAGGGCATATTTCAAAGCATTCATCTATTTTTAGTCAGAGTACCCCCTTGGTACCCCTGACCCATCGGCCCTGAAATTATCTATTTTGAAAGAGGTCCCTTTCTTCATTATAAGGCCAGCATTTTTTTTATGTTTAGGTTTAGTTATGATCATGAGAATAAAAAAGTCCCGAAGGAGAAGGAAATAAAATTTTTCTTTTGATAAATCAATTATTAACATTTGTACATTCTTTTTTTATGCTATTCTTATAGGCTCCTTACCACTGGACACATAATGCTTACAAATAGGAAAGTAGAACATTTAATTGCTTATTTCATCATCTGCCAGTTTGGGTAGTTTGGGCCAGTTATATAAATGTTGTGATGTTGGTCAAAATATATTTTTAAAAATCAATTCTTTAAAAGTCTTTCAATATATCTTCATTTTTTTAATATGTGTTAGGTGAATGTGTAGACTTTGTTCTAATATTTACTTGATGCCTAAAATTATAATTCCTATTATAAAACAGACGGTCCAGTATTGGGGAGTAGGGTGAACATTTTAAATAATTTTTCAGGCTGATACAAATGATACTACATGCCTGTATATTAGGGCTGGGTATTGGCCGGAGATTTCGTATTGCGATATATTGCGATATTTTAAACTGTATTGCAATATGTATTGCAATATTTTCAATGTAATTTAGATGGCATTTTCTTACTTTATTTACTTTAATTTACATCCAGAATGTACATAACTATGATAAGTAACCAACATGGAAAAAAATCTTGTTGATTTCATTTAAGTTATGCTCTGAAATGTTCCCACAAAACAACTTCTGTCTTACTGTTTGGCTTAATAACAAACTTTAATAAGTCCATTTTTAAATTTAATGACAAAATTCCTTAATCTAAGCATATTGCCAATATATCGATATCACAAAATCGTATTGCGATACGATATTTTTTATCATCGTATTGCAATATATTGAAATATCGATATTATTGCCCAGCCCTACTGTATATATTTGTATATTCTTGCCTGTTAATAGTTGAATTTTTTTAATTTCTTCAGGTTATTGTTTATTTCTTCCTCAAATGGACTTAACTTCTCCCATAGTTTTATTCATTACATCTGATGCATAAGCAACCTATTCCTGAAGAATGATGCTTAGACTGTAAGCTATAACAGAGACCTTAACAATGTCGCTGGCAATATGCAATAGCTACCACGGGCAGTTTAAAACCTGGGGGAGGAAAATGATTTACAGACATATACTTTTGAAACGAATACATAATTATCTCACCAGCATGTCATTGTGCAACATAGGCGTCAGCATTTTATGTGTCCTTTGAACGGGTGAAACGTTTTGAATGCACTCGTATCGATGAATTTTACACTAAACCAAGCTATCTTCTCAGATCTAGCTTTATTTACCCGCTATTTCATCTTAAAACCGGAAGTGCGAGTTCGTAAATTTGAAATCTCGATCCCGACTCAAATTTGACATCGGAAAGAAAAAAAATTGTTTTATTTTTTTCTGAAAATTCAAAACCTTGAGCGGAGGGTTTGTAAAACTGAAAATAAAATAAATCCTGAACTTAAATATGTAATTAGATCATTAGTATATTAACCAGGAGCAAAGGATAAGATGTTCAAAGAATTCATGCATTTCACTATATAATCATTAGAGCCCCACCCTAAAACAAGAACCCCTGACCCTGGGGCCATAAAATTCACAATTTTGGTAGAAGCTCTCTTGCTCATCATAACTATGTACTTAGTTAGTTTATTTAATACCCAGGAGCAGAGAAGAAGATTTTCAAAGAATTCACGTATTTTCACTATATAATCAATATAGCCCCGCCCTAACACCAGAACCCCTGACCCTGGGGCCATAAAATTCACAATTTTGGTAGAGGCACTCTTGCTCATCATAACTATGTACTTAGTTGGTTTATTTGATACCCAGGAGCAGAGAAGAAGATTTTCAAAGAAATAATGCATTTTCACTACCTACTTATTTAGGCCTGCCCTAGCACTAGAATCTCTGACCCCAGGGCCATGAATTTCACAATTTTGGTAGAGGCTACCTTGCTGATTACAATCAATGAAAACAGTTTGACTGCTTAATGTCCATGAGTAAAGGAGAAGATTTTTAAAGATTGCATTAATTTTAGTGGTTTTGGCCCCACCCCTCAGGCCCCAGGGGGGCAGGGATCATGAAATTCACAATTTTTGTTCCCCGTCACCCATAGATGCTTTGTGCCAAATTTGGTTGAAATTGGTTCAGCGGTTTCAGAGAAGAAGCTGAAAATGTTCAAATGTTAACGCACGACGGACGACGCACGACGACGGACGAAAACAGATAGCAATAGGTCACCTGAGTTTACTCAGGTGACCTAAAAATCAGGCATCTACAGATCAATTAAAGTATACAGAAAAGGGGGAGAGAAAGATTTTTTTTAATTTCCAATTTCTTTTTTTTTTTTTTTGCACTGACGTGTGAATAATGGCCAGAAGTGGGGTGTTTGTAGCACTCTTACACTGGATCTTAGATCGACAAACGATGCAAAAATTATCACTGCTGTATCTACTGACGTAACTGGGAAAGCATTTCTTCGAGAGAAAAAAATTAATTACAACTCTTAATTCTGGCTTCTGATTCTTTTTCAGAAATTTTTTTTTCTTTAAAAGTGTTTCTTTAACAAGTTGAAAGGCCAGCTTTTTCCAAAAACAACTTCTTTCAGTACATGTACCATTTTTGTCATAAAACTATGTTATTACTTATATAAATTTACTGTAACAAAAATAAGGGGGACCAGTCTTTCATTGAACATTTTCAATAGTAAAAGGTATGACAGGCCCCCTGCTGCTACGTACCTTGGGCACGAACTCTGTTTTTGTTAATGTGAAGTCTCACCGGGTATCTTCAACTGCACACATCATTGAGGAGGGACTGGCAATACTGGTGAGTTGGTTTTACTTTTTGACATTTCTACTCTAATTTTTCTGGATTGTAGTTCAATACATTTTATAAATACACAACAATTTTTTTTACTTCTCATAAGTATTAAGAGTAACTTTGACTCAACATGCTAGGATGTATGAATTAAACGCGTCCCAAAATCCCTAGTTTGAAAAATTTGCGGATTTCTGTAATTATATTTCCGTGTGAAATGCCATGGAAACAAAGGTAAGACTCCAAAGTCCGATGATGACGCAAAATTCCGATGGTCTGCAGGAAACCCCGATGCATGCATGGTACTTTTGTTGTCGCATATAAGTTATGTAGTCAATTAGACAAGATATTAAACCGAGAATTTGAGAAAACATTAACATGAAGTCTGTGTCCAGGCCTTATAAAGTTACATAAAAGTATAGTGTAAATAGATCATATAAAATCAGTAGTATTATTTTTTGTATTTTTTTTCATTCATAAATTAAAAACTATCAATAAAAACGCGTTTTTTTTTTAAATTGACTTCTAAGACTATGACATCACATTTGTCAATCAAAACCAAAAAAATCCCTTCAAAATCATTTCGTTTGTGGATTTTGATACAGCTATGCCCATCATAGAACATCGTCTAAAAATGATTTATTTATATCCATGTACTACTCAGCAGTTTTATTCAACTTTTTTTTTTGTCGAGATACATGTACGTAAAACAATTAATTTTGCTTGATTTTTATGCAAGGTACCAACGTTGAAATTAATAAAGTTTTTGTGTACGCCTAGCTACGACCCTGAAAAATATTATAATTACATGTTTGAACACTATGTAA